CCTAACTTGCTTCAAGACTCAGCTAAAATCCCATTTTTTGCGTAAAGCCTTATTCTGATCCCCTTTAATGCTATAGGGCCTTCCCTTGAGATTATCTCCAATGCATCCAATATATATCTTAGTTATACTTAATTATTTCCATATTACCTACATCATTAGACTGTGAGTTCTCTGAGGGCAGGCACCATTTTTATTTTGCATGAAGATTTCCAGTGAAAGGGGAAATCTACTATTTCCTGGAGTATCCCATTCTATTTTTTGTTTTGATAGTTCTAAATGTTAGGAAGTTTTCCTTTACATTAAAAGTAAATTTTCCTTTTGGCAAATTCCACCCTGACTACATTAAGTGAAAAAGGGTGGATCTATTTAAAAGATAGAAAAATAGAGTATCATCACTTCCTAAAGGAGTTAATTGCTGTAAATCAATCAGTACAACAAAGAGACCAAAAGAGCTCAGAAACTACTTCAATCAACAAAGTTAATCTAGCCAAAAAGAAAGACCTGACAGTCATACATTCTAAACTCTGTTTTAGAAATTTACTTGTAAAATCTTATAGAGGAGTATGGTGGAAAATTACAAGCATAATTGTCTCATAAGTAAGAAAGAAGATGTGACGGGACAAATATCTAAAAATCTTGGCATGAGACATGAATCATCCCCATAGCATTTAAAGATGAAACTAGAAGAACAACAGATCAAAAATGGAAAATATTGTCAAGAGATCTAGAACAAAATCTTTTCTCCATCAGTGAGTGTGCAATGTCTTAGTCCCTGATGTGTTGCATGAGGAAATAGAAATAGCAGAAAGGAAAAATCAGAATGGCAGCTATAGTAGATCAGGTGTACACAAAGGATGTCTTTGACAGAGGACACAGAATTTTGAGGGATTGAGTCTTAAGGTTTCTGAAAGAAATGAGGACACCAAGTAACTGGGGGAAACAACCTCCTATATTATTACTAAACAAGGTGACTAAGCAATTATTAATAATCGCTGAGCCATAAGCTTACCTTCCACATTTCTACAAAATCTTTATGGAAATAACCTACATATCTATTGAAGTTATCCTTGAAGAGGAAATGAAAGGTGGTTAAAGCAATATTCTACCAAAGACCACATTTTTGCCATCACACTATCGATTAAAAGATGCAATAAATAAAAGATCCCAATAGACTCATGGCTTATTGGCTATTAAAAAAACTGATCGAATAGAGCAAAATGATGCCCCCAACAAGTCTCACTCACAAGACTACCACCAACAAGGTACCTCCCAAGAATATGCCAAAATGTAACAATGGAAATAACTTAGTACAATGACACTCTAATTATTAATATCAAACAAGGTCTAAAACATGAAGCTAAATGCTCACCAAAGAAATCAGCTACTGTTACGGAGTGTATGAAATTCAAATGAAAGAAAGATTTCCTATGAATGATGATGTTCCTGTTTCAGATGACATTGTGATGATTGTACCATCCTTAATGAGATCATAATCACCCAAAAGAATTCTACCAAACTATACATGGGGGGAAAGTATGAAAATTTTCAATTTTCTAGAGTATGATATGCATTTGTATGGACAATTCATCCGATTGGTCCTTCAGTACATTCATTCATTCAACAAGCAAGCAAGTAACCATTTGTTAACTGTGTATTATATGACAAGTACTGTTTGGTACCAGGGATACAAAGCCTAGTAAGGATGGTCCCTGCCATCAAGGGGTGTACATTCTACTAGGGGATAGGAAAGGGACGTGTAAGTGAACACAAGATACATGCAAAGTAAATACAAATTAACTTCAGGAGGAAAGAACATCAGCTCTCATATACTGGGCTTTTAATTATGCTATACTGTGTATCCAATTACTTTTTCCCTCTCTTTTTCTATATCAAGCACACTCTCAAATGCAATTCTCTCTACAATTTTTCACTACCAAGTCTGTGTTTTAAAGGTATCACGTGAACCCTGCCAATAAAAATATGAGAAAATCACTTATCTGAAGTGATTAGAGAAATATAAATAAGTCCACTTGCCTTTCAAATATCTTCATGCTACTCCACCACTGTTCCTGGAATTCCTCCACTGGGTTCAATTCTTCAAATTATAGCACTATGTTCATTCAAATGCTTAAGTTATATGTGAAGAATTTCGTATGGACCCACCACCAACTGTTTGCAACAAAGTTCACTTAAGTTTGGATTAAATGGTCACTGGCATCGATAGCCTATGGCACATATGAGCTCATTTTCTTTCACACAGGCCAGTTTCTACGTCAAATCCCCACTGCTCATTGTTTTAAGAACACTAACAGCTGTCCTTAAAAGAGTTGATATTATTGTTGTTCAGTTGTTTCAGTCATGTCCAATTCATTGTAACCCCATTTGAGGTTGGAAAAGATCCTAGAGTAGTTTGTCATTTACTTCTCCAGCTCACTTTATACATGAGGAAACTGAGGTAAACAGGGTTAAGTGACTTGCTCAGGGTCACACAGATGGTTAAGTGTCTGTGGCTAGATTTGAATTCAAGTCTTCCTGAATCTAGGCTAACACTATCCACTGTGCTACCTAGCTGCCCCAAAAGTTAGTAGCTGGCATCTACTCTGGCCCCTGCTCATAAGTCTATACTCTTCACCCTAGCATACCAATAGGAAAAGGATTGGCACTTTGAAATAAGGTTTTGCATTGCAAAGCTACTGACCCTGGTTTATCCAATTCTAGGTAGCTAGAATTATCTAAAACCGTCCAGAGCTCAGTCCTCTGTTATAGGAACTATTTAAGTAAGGGCCAAATGACCACTTATTGGAATGATACCTTGAGAGTAGGGACAATCTTTTTTGTTAAGATTTGTATCAATAGTACCTAACAGTGACTTGCATATGGTAAATCCTTCTTGAATGAAAAAATGCACAGTTGGGTAGTTTGCTCATAAAGTAGTACATGATAGAGAAAATTCATTGATTTGTATGAGTTTGAACTAAATAACTTCTAAGATTCTTATCAACTGCAAGATTTTATGATTCTATGTGAGACTATGACACAGGACAATTAAGTTTTGGTGCCAAGGAATAAAGAGGAAAATGGGGGGTGACACTAGAAAGGGAAATCATGGCTAGAGTACCTCAGTGAGGGGCTCTGGACAAAGGTATATGTGCCTTAGGGAGAAGTAATCCTTACAGGAAAAGAAAAAGGAGATAAACATATATTTCAACTGCTTAACAATTCTGATTAGGACCAGGACTGTCACTAAGAATCCTTTACGTTATCTGTTTCTCATCCCATGGAGCACAATTTTATTTATCTTTATTCCTGGAAAGTAACTCTTCTGTGTAGCTGCTTTTCAAGACTAATTAGTATTTTACTGATCAATTAATTGATTATCATTTTTATTATTGCTATTCACCTAAGTAGATATTCAGTAGTAGCATGCTGATGGGCAAGCTTCTGATAAATGAGGTCATAACTTCTTGATTTGGAATCCTTAATTTTCAGTGTGTCATATAGCCTCACTAGGTCTCAGTTTCCTCAACTATAAAATGAGGGACTTTGAGAAAATGACCTCTAAAGTCCTTTCCAGTTCTAGCTATGATCCTATAATACAATGTAAAGATTTTGATTGTGAGACTAGATTTCACAGTCCCCATTTCTCGCTTCTCTTTAAAATCTTCTTGGATTTTCTTACATTTGGATAGTTTCTCTATGAATTACATCCATGTAGCAGTAATGAAATAATTACTAAGTCTCCTAGTTAAAAACAGGATGCTTATGTTCATATGCAAGTTCAATTCAATTAAACAAGCATTTATTAAATACCTATTATATTCCAGGCACCGAGGATATGAAGACAAAAACAACATGTGCAGAGATAAATACAAAATATATAAATTAATCTAAAAGTCAGGAGAAAATGAGTAACTGGGCAAATCAGGAAAGGTTCCACATAAGAAATAGCACTTGAACTGAGCTCTGAAGAAAACTAGCAGGTCCAAGAAGCAGAAGTGAGGAGAGAGACTATTTTAGGCATGGGGAGTAACCAGGCACAGAAGAGGAAAGTAGATTGTCACACATTAGGCATAATAAATAGGTCAGTTGTATTAAAACAATGAATACATTGAAGGTGAGTAATGTGTAATCAGCCTAGAAAGACAGACTGCAATATGATTGTGAAGGGCTTTAAATGCCAAACAGAGGAGTTTTTATTTGATCCTGGGGCAATAGGGAGACAATGAAGATTCTTGAGCAGAGGAGGGACAGAGTCATACCTACGCTTTAGGAATATCAGTTTGACAGTTGTGTGGAGGTTGATTTTTAGAAGAAGTGTCTGGGTACAATTGAACTAAATAAAAGACTGCCACTATAGTACAAGTGAGACGTGATGAGGAACTGTATTAGGATAGTGGTTATATGAATGCAGAGAACAGAGACATGTTGAAATTGATTACACTTGACAACTCTATAGATAAATAGATAGATAGATAGATAGATAGATAGATAGATAGATAGATAGATATAGATAGATAGATAGATAGATAGATGGAGAGAGAGAGGAGTAAAGATTAAGGAATCCAATCCAATAAACATTTATTAAGCACCTACTTTGTGCCAGGCACTGTGCTAAGCACTGGGAATAAAATTAATAAAAAGAAAGATAATCCCTGCCCTCAAGAAGCTTACAATCTAAAGGAGGGAGACAACACTCAAAAGGAAGCAGGGAAGTGAAGGTAGGGGGATGGAACACTAGGGAGTATCCAACACAAGGGCATCTTGTTTCATGGAGTTGAAACCAAGCAGGGCAAGAGATGCAAAGTGGAGTGAGCTGAGTCCAGTTTCTCTTCTCTATGAAAGAAAGCATTGGAAAAAAAATTGTTCTCTAGAAATTGAGAAATTCCCCATCAATTGGGGAATGGCTGGACAAGTTGTGGTACATGAATATAATGGAATATTATTGTGCTATAAGAAATTATGTTTTTTTTTTCTGGCGGTGAAGATCTCCCTATGCCAACATGCCTCTCACGAAAGACCTCCTGCACCCTTCTCCCAAGAAGGAGAAGCAGAAACACAAGAAGAAGCACCTGGCGCAGAGTCCGACCTTGTATTTCATGGACGTAAAGTACCCGGAGTGTTATAAAATCACCACTGTCTTCAGCCACTCACAAATAGTGGTTCTCTGTGTGGGGTGCTCCACTGTGCTCTGTCAGCCTACTGGAGGAAAGGCAAGACTTACAGAAGGATGCTCCTTCAGGTGGAAGCAGCACTAATGACTGAATTGAGATGATTGAGAAACTGTAAAGAATAAAACAAATTTGATATGAAAAAAAAAAGAAATGATGAACAGGCAGACTTCAGAAAAACCTGGAAAGACTTGTATGGACTGATGCTGAGTGAAGTGAGCAGAATCAGGAGAACATTGTACACAGTAACAGCCACGTTGTGTGATGATAAACTTTGATAGGCTTAGCTCTTCTCAGTAATGCAAGGGTCTAAGACAATTCCAAAAGACTCATGATGGAAAATGCTATCCATATCCAGAGAAAGAACTATGGTGTCTGAAAGAAGATTGAAGTATACTATTTTCTTTTTTGTTTGTTTGTTTGTTTCTTATGTCTCCTGTTTTTCCTTTTGGTTCTAATTCTTCTTTACAACATGACTAATGTGGAAATATGTTTAATGTGATTGTACATGTATAGCCTATACTGGATTGCATGCCATCTTGTGGGACAGGGGGAAATACAGGAGGAGAAAATTTAGAATTCAAAATCTTATAGAAGTGAATGTTGAAAACTAAAAATAAATAAAAATTTATATGTTTAAAAAATAATTAATTATTTATTTAAAATCTGGTACTCTTCCCTCTAGCCCTCCAAACAGAGGGGAGAGGAAGCTGAGACAGGTGGTGTCAGTCAAGGCTTCAGTTAGCAACATGGTAGTGAATTTAGAATTGATGAGATTAACCGGGGAAGAGGAAGAGTTGAGAATGACTTTGACATTGCAGACCTGGACTACTAGCAGAACAGTGGTACTCTCAATAAAAACAGAGAAGTAATAAGCAGTATTGTGTTCTAAGAGAAAAGACAACAAATACTGTGTGGGGTTTTTTTTTTGGCAAGGCAATCAGGGTTAGGTGACTTGTCCAAGGTCACACAGCTAGTGAGTATCATGTGTCTGAAATTGAATTTGAGCTGAAGTCCTCCTGACCCCAGGGCCAGTGCTCTATCCACTGTGCTACCTAGCTGCCCCTGCATGCTGTTTTTGGGTGGCATACATGCAGGAGGAGATCTTACTCATTCCTTCCAGCAGGTAGTTGGACACGTGGCAAAGGTGTTCAGGAGAGAGATGATAGCTGGATTAGTAGATTTGTGAGTTATTTGCATAAAGGTAAGAGCTGGCACCAAGAAAGAGTCTAGAAAAAGAAGACAAGAGGGTCCAGGACAGAGGTCTGAGGTATATCACCAACAAATTGGTTGTTTGGGATCCTAAAGTATTTTCCTATTGAAATTGTTATAAAGGAGAGTTAGATTACCAGAATAGACCATAAAAGCCTATTTAACCTAAATATATATTTGAACTTCAATATTAATAGTATTAACAGCATCAACAACATAGTACTAATAGTACCAACAATAAAAACTATTTTTGCTATTGTTTCTATTGGAAAATTCTTTTCATGGAATCACAAAATATCAATTGGGAGCCATCTCAGGGATAGTCAGTCCAACCTATAAAGATAACTAAGCATGGTCATCAAGGATTTTTGCAAAAGCGTGGTGAGTCAAATAATGCTTGTATCCCCAACCACAGTTTTACCCAGTGACCACTATGAGGATCATGGTGAGAAGGAAATGAGTACTGTGTCTTGCGACTATGGCCTCTAGCTGAGCAGTGTATAGTTAAAAGTCAACTAAAAAACTTGGGCAATACTTCTCCCACTCTGGAGTCCTGGGGAGAGCATACTCCCTGCTCATCCATGAAGTACTAACTAACTATTCAAAACTGACCATTTTGACCATTCAAAAGTCAAATGTTGGTAAGTCAAGAAGTTTCTCTGCATTCATATAAGAGAGGGAGATCAAGGCTTGCGGTTGGAATCCATGATAAACTGACATCAATGCAAGACTTGCTGACATCACAAAAGCAATCAAGAAATAACAAATACTTACAAAATAGTCCATTTTTGTCATAGGACATATGTAGAAAACCCTCCATTAGCAGCTAAGTATAACAATCTATGAATGGTCAGATGAATGTCCCGGGAGCTATTCAAGGGTCATTGAAAATCAATTATTTTACCAATACACTTTGACAGTAATACAAACATCATCACCACTGACTTGAACTGAGAAAAATAAATCTATTCCCAAATAGAAATTAGTTCCATTGCCTTTCAAAGATGATAAAGAAAATTTTCCAAAAGTCTGTGTATCTCATGTTATAAATTCCTTAGCCTAGCATTCAAGGTTGACCACAATTTGGCTCCAGTCTACCTTTCTAGCCTTATTTTTTTTCTTTCTTCTATGGTAATACAATACATTCTAGCCAGTGAACTTTATGTGTTATCTCCCACCTCCATGCATGTGCACATACTATTCACCAGGTGTGAAATTGAATTCTTCTTGACTTCTCTGTTACAGAATCCTTTTATTCAGAAAGCTTCACCTATGTAGCCTTCTCTGTTCTTCCTACTGAAAGTGTTGTCATCCTCCTCAAAATATTACTAGAGTGCTTTGTGCAGCCTCCTCATTTACCACCATTACTCCCTAACTTGCATCATACTAATCTTTTCATATGTCATATACCTTCAGGGAGCTCCTTGAATACAGAAACTATGTCATTTTTTATCCCCAAAGCACAACACAGAGCTTTGTACTATGGTGCTAAGTATCTCAGGCACTGGAGCTAGAAACAGGAAGACATAAGTGTAAGAACCTTACCAACTGTGTGATCCTGCTCAAGTCACTTATCATCTGTTTGCCTTAGTTTCTTTAACTTTAAAACAGGAATAATAGCACCTACTTCCAACGAGTTTTGTGAGATCCAAAGGAGATAATATTTGTAAAACAACCTAGCATAGTCCCTGATACATAGAAGGTATTTAATAAATATTTGTTTCCTTCCTAGTAAGTATTTGATAATTATTTTAATAGATTTCTACTGAGTTTGCTTTTTACTAGACCCAGGAGGTCATTGTTTTACTTTACTTAACTCATGTGACAGAAAATATTTGTATAGATAGAAGACCATATTTGTCTGCTAACAAACTCTAGTTGCTCTGTATTTTACATCATTTCTATTGAATTGAATAGGGCAAATTCTTCTACTGAAAGTTAAAAATGATCTAAAGATGGCAGGTAAATGATGTTGTAAGAAAAATATGAAACAACAAATAACAAAACAAAACAAAACAAAAAACCACGAACTGCTCACCTAGTAAGAGCCAAGTATAACCAATGGGTAGCTTGTATGTTCCACTGGAATCCATTCTCTGTCAAGAGAATGAGAGAGAAGCCCCAGCACATTAGGTGGATTTCCTCATGTAGGTGCCTAGGACCATGTAAATAAGAGTCACACAATACAGACAGGCATGAATGAGTTGAGGTCAGCATCATTAAAATGAGTACTCATATTAAGGATATTCACTGTAGGATTGGAGTATATAAAGTTAATTAATGTTCATTTAACATATACATCAAATAAGAAGGTAGTGCAGAAACAACCCATTAATGAACATCATGGTATTGTTAAGAGAAGTACTCTATTGAAGAGTCAGGAGATGCCAGTAGAAGTCCAGATCCCACACCTGTGTAATTTTGGATAAGACAGTTCACCTTTCTTAGTCTTATCATCTATAAAATGAGTAAGTCAGACTAAGACAATCTCTAAATAAGCTTCCAACTCTGGTCTCTGGTTTTACTGTGATGATGGGTGATCAGCAAGCAAAGACAGATTATTGTAGCAACTTCTCTCTCTTACAACTACAAAATGCCTTGTCTACTGGACCATCTTAGCTCTGCTTATTAGTTTCACTCCACTATAAAGGCTAAAAGAGGAGCTAATGGGACCGAGTGAAAAGATGAAGAGACAAAGATTTCATTATCCAGGACTGGCTTGAAAAGTTAGAATAGCAAGTGAAAAATAAAGAGAGGTAGGAAATAGAGGAAAGTATCTTTGAAAGGAAGGAGATTTTCAGGGATTCCTCTATTTTCACATTGAGCCCCTAATATTCTCCACTCTTCATTGTTACCTAATTTCCTGCTCCCATTCCTTATCTCAAGGCTTTATACAACTCAATTCAATAAACATTTATTAAAGGTTTACTATGTGACAAGCACTGTGTTAAGCAGTGGGAATGCGAATAAGAAAAAGAAAGACAGTCCCTACATTCAAAAAGCTTACAATGTAATGTAGGAAGAAAATACACAAAAGAAAGCTGGAAGGAGGGAGGAGGGGAAGGTCGTCAATGGGTATGAAGCCAAATGGAGTCAAAACCATGCAGAGATGCTGATAGAAAGTGAAGAGTCACACAGAATAGGCTCATTAACTGCTTTCTAACTAGCCACATTTGCTATAATTTTATCACAATGTATAGGCTTATCCTAAATGTGTGACAAAGTTCCATTTGCCTCTATAATGTAGCAAAAGAAAGTATAGCTAGGTCCTGATTAGGATGAACGATGATTATTGTGAAGTGGTTGCCCTATTTGCATTATTTGAAGTTATAATTACATGTAATTGGTTCTAGCCCAATGTAAATATGGAATGAAAATTATTAAATTGATTTCTGTCTCTTTATTGATTTAATATAATAGATGACAAGAAAATATATTACTGATTTAAGTCTATTAGTAATGGGATAGTTATAAAAAAAGCAAAATTGGAAAAAAATTATTAAATATAGTACCTAAATATATAAGCCTGTGGATATAACAGAACTGTCCTCTCCTTCATTAAATCTTTATACCTAACCTGGTAGGTTTTGGCAAATGTGTATGCTCTCATTCTCATAAGATGAATTGAATATAGTTGGATGCCTTGGGCATTGTCTAACATCAATAATGTTTTAAAGTCACTATCATTATCCCTGAAATACTTTTCAACAGCTAGGCTAAAATAACTTGAAAACCAATGAAAATAGCTTTCATCATTCTTACCTTCTTATCTAACCACCAAAGAACTGGAAATGATCAGTGGGTGTAGCCTCCCAGAATATGAGGATGTCAAGACCAATGAAGAAGCTTTGGTTTTAATTTAGATGAACCTTAGA